GTCTCGCGGGGCGGCGGGGCAGCCTGCTGTGGCGGCGCTCCGGCGATACTCGGGCTGCGCGCTGCGGGGCGGCTGCGGTGCTCCCGTCTTGGGACGTGGCGCGCGACCGGTCTCGGGCCGGATCCGTCCGAATCTGGCTTTGGGGGCGGGCCGGTGGCGCCTGGCTCCGGTGGTGCGTGCTCGGCGGCTCCGGCGCTTGGAGCCCGCCGGGTGACGCGGGTAGGGCTGCGGCCGGGCGTGGTTGCTGCTCCGGCCGTGGGCGGCGACATGGGTAGGTCTCGGTGGCCTACCGGTGTCGTGGCGGCTTCACGGTGTCTCGACGGATCTGTCCGCGGCAACGGCCGGCTCCTCCGGCGTCGGTTTGTCTGTGTTCGGGCCGTCTCATCCTTCACCCCATCTCCTTGTCGCCCGGGCGCTACTCCCATCAAAGGGCTGGTCCTTTCCCAGCTGCGATCCACCGCTCGTCTCGCGCCCGATGCCGCAGGACAGAGCTCGTCTCGCGCACGATGCAGCAGGACCGAGCTCGTCTCGCACACGATGCAGCAGGACCGGGCTCATCTCACGCACGATGCAGCAGGACCAAGCTCGTCTCGCGCCCGATGCAGCAGGACCGAGCTCGCCTCGCGCACGATGCTGCAGGATCGAGCTCATCTCGCGCTTGGGGTAGCAGGATGGGTCGGTGGATGCCGGTTCTGGCCGACCTATTGGGTCTCGATGCTGGGGGTTGCCCAGGGGCGCGAAAGGTGGGACCTTTCCGCTCGTCTCTTTCGTTGGGTTGCGCCGGGTCACGGGTGAGGTGGTGTCGAGGTCTTGAATGCTGGGGCGGCGGCCCTGGTGGTGGTGGTGGCGCGGTGCTCTTGGACAAAGCCCGCGCCTTGGTGCTGCCCGCTCATCATGGCCGTGTGGGCGGCGTGGTTGCCGGGGTGTGGCGTTCGGTGGCGGTGAATGTTTGCCGAGGTGAAAACCTGCTCTATCTTCGGACGGACCGACGGCGGCGATAATCGCTTCCTTCTTGAAGGCATCGTCGCGGCTCTCATTGCCCGTCATGTGGCTCCGGGGGAAACTCTGATCCTTGGATCGGGCGGTGGCGGCGCTCCGGCGTCGTTTCCTTCCCGAAGGCGCCACCTTGGAGCGCATGGTTCGTCATATGTAGCTTCATATCTTCGGGGCGGTAGTGCTAGGAGTAGTGTTGCTGCGCTCAGCGCCTTTGTATCCCGTCCTGGGTGTGTGCGTGTGTTGCGGTGGCGTAGCGTGTGGTTGTACTGGATGCTTGTGGGTTGTTGCTTTATATATAAAGCGGGGCGAAAGCCTTTTTCGGTAAACCTGGTAATGTTGTTGTTCACCGGCTGCTCACTTATTGAATGCATTGCCTGAAGCTTGCTCAAATATCTCTTCAGGGTGAAACCCATGTTCCGGCCTTAGTGGTGGGTCTAGTGACGACAGCATTCGGGCATCCCTCCTTTCCAGAAGGCATCATTGTTGCCTTGTTGGAGGCTTGGAGCACTCATCGTGTTACCCTAGGTTGCAAACATTGATGGTTGATGCTGATGTTTGCTGCAGTTCTTCCATAGGTCATCTTATTTCATTTGTAATAATTTAGTTGTGTGAATCATTGATCTCTCCACTAGTTCTTGACTTTGTGTTGGTGGGGAGGATTAACGAACTGCTTGGCGCATTATTCTCGTGCTCGTTAAGGCTCGGCTCATTAAGCTCGGTAGACTTAACGAGCAGAAAGCCCTTCTCGGTTCGGTTCGTTTGAGAAGCTTGTTAAACTCGTGAGCTCTCGCTAACATGCATTACCTTATTTTGCTTTAGGAACGATTTGTTGCGACATGTGAGATGAGAGTAGAGTGTGACTTTTACGAAGGGATATCATTGAGGATGTGTGTCAGCTGCTACCTCCAATGAAACGGGTTTAGTCAATTAAATTGAATAGGTGGCTTAAGATGCAATGATATACTATTACTTAAGATAGAAATCTTTGTTCTGGAGTATAATGAGCTTAACAAGTAACTCATGAAACGTATTAGTTGTTTTGTTAAGCTCGTTAAGTTTGATGAGCTGAAACCAGTGATGGACTATGTTCCTTAAAAAAGTGAACTACATGCTTAACTAGTCGAGCTATGGAGTGCTCATTTAACTTGTGTGGTACAAGCTTTTGGTCCATCCTTACATGTCCAAGGAATGGTGAGTTTTG